ATGCTGTATTGCATACAAGCCAACTAAATCACCACCTTTCTTTTAAAGGAGAAATAGAAAATCGTATGGTTCCAGTTCTGTGAATTCTGATGTAAGCTATTACGTTTGTCTTTGGGAAAAGCCAGTAACTGAACTCTGTCTAGGAACCTGTTCTGTTGAAGGAAGAGAGGGAGAGAAGGCTGGGAGTTACCCAGTTCTACATCTCGTACGAATACTGGCAACCTGGGAAAAAAATCTGATTGCCCAGTTCGCTTTGGAAGACAAAGGCACATTCGATGATTGTAGAGGTCACTGCTAAAACCATCACAGCTGAACTGGACGGCTTTGTCTTAACTTCTGGTTTTAAAATGCTTTTAAACCTTGTGTGTAAATGCCGTAGATTGTATAGCAAAGCACTTGTCCCAGGAATACTTCTTGTAGAATTCTAAAGTTTCTCCATTCCTCAGTCAGACAGATGTGTCCAGAAAGTGAATTAACTCAGACTTTGGATCAACAGCACAAACAGATACTCCTTTGAATGTCCTTGAAAACAAAATTTCTGCATGCTCAGATCTGAGGAGTTTGAACAGTGAGTTTAGTTGAAGTGGTAAAGATGATGGTTGAGAGCTGCATGTGAGGCTTTGGGCAGATTTGGAGTGGAAAATTGGTAGATAAAAGATACGCGGTTTGTAAGAAGAATTGATGATTTTGCATGCTTCTCGGGTGAGCTGTTTGTGTACCTCTTGGGTAGAGATGTTTGTTGCGATTTGATTTCGTTTGTTTGCTTTTGCACTGTGGTTTCTTTTCCTCAGCTATTTTGCTTTTATTACCTTTTTTCCTTCTTTTAGCCAGCATGCAGCATCATGGTTTTCTTGCTATTCTTGCTGACAGTGGACTGCTGAAAGCATTCATGGACATAGTTTGCATGCTATTTTGTGCATTTGAGGAATGTCTCGTTGTATTAATGTGCATGGTGATAGATTCGGTTATTCTCTACGTGTTTAATTTTATGGACTTTTTTTGAACTTCAGGAGTTTACTTTTAAAGTACTTGGTGGTTCCACTGGAAGTGGCAGCTCTGTGTGTGTATGTATGTATGATCTTTGTAGTTCAATTAGACTTAAATATCTATTTTTGCAGTTTAAAACAAATTGATTTTCCTTTAGAAGGTGAGCGGTTTGCAGGGTGTCTTTGTGCTGCAGCATCATAGATCCTTATACAATTCCTTTCCTTCCGATGCTTTTTATGGCAGGAGGTGATGAGAGCTCAAGGATTTTTGAACCAGAACAAGGCCTGTGCTTTGTAGCTTTGATTACCGAATTAAGTACCTCCTAGCAATGTGGCCTTTCTTAAAAGTTTCACGTGCAGATGCGGTTGATTAAGCAGGCTGTGTCAGTTGTTTCTGTCTGAGGTCAAGTTAAACCAAATTCCGTGGAAACCCTGTGGCTAAGATTTAAAGCTGGATTTCTTCTTTTCCCCACTGACCCTCCTTCCACATGTACTCAATTGTTGCATATTTTTGTTTTCCCTGAAAGCTCTAAGCTTCAGTAGCACCAGCCTATAAACTTGGTATCATGCTGTTAGAATGCAGAGGTTTTCTTCTAAGCAAACTATTGTCTTGGAACGCTTTGCTTGTTACCCGGTGCATGAATGAATATTGAGTTCTAACAGTTTCACAACAGACTTCTCTGATATTCATTTTACAGCTGTAATTCATGTTACAGCGTACGTAATCTAGATGGTGCAGCCCACATATGCCTAGTTGTAGTGTGTTCTTTTACCCTGAAATGTGAATGAAAGATGACAGAAAGCAATCTTCAAAGTGGCCTAGATAGAATTCAATAAAAATGTCTGCAGTATTCTCACTTGGGTTTTATTGGAGCTTAATGGTAATTAAGAAACCTTAAGTGTGTGAAGTTAAAAAACCAAACCAAAACAAAAAACTCGCACAAGATCCACCTTTTTGTACAACCAGGTATATTTCAAAGGATCTCGTATTGCTCTGTGCACATTTCTCAGAGTAAAGGCTAGAAGAAAGGAAATCGGTTCATGCTTTTAATGTCTTTGTACCTGTGAAGGAAGCATTGCAGCTGCTGGAGGAACTTGTCTTCAGTTTTGTTATATATATAGCTTGGATGGTTTAAGCATGGAAGAAAATAACTCATTTTCCTAAAACATGTATTGCATGCAAGGACAGAAATTAACTAATTTACAGATGTTGGGGGGCCATTTTCTTATGCTATCCCATAACTACGATGGATCACCTGGAGGTTATGAACGGATTGGCAGCATATGAAGACTAGTTCTATAAGATTTAGATGACAAGTTTTTGCTATGTCCTTTGAGTACTGGTGCTTAACTCAGACTTCATGCTATTTTAACATTAAAAATTAGTAAGATTGAAAGCACTGTAATATGTATTCCAGTATCAGCAATATTTATTATGAGCAAAACTCACTTTTATTTAGAAGACAAAATCTGGGAGTTACCCAGCTTTGCCTGACACTGTGTTTCAGGACGCAAATGGAATTAAATGGTGCAAATGCCTTTTGCCAACCTGAAACAAGTTCAGAAAGTGAACTCCTGTTCACAAAGAATAGAGAACGATTTTGAAGAGGCTGGTGAAGCAGACAGTATATTGCAGAGTTGTTATATCATCCATTTGTAGCATCCATGCAGCTCATTCCTCTGTCCCTTCATCTGTTCTTCCAGCGGTGAGCTGCTGGGGAGTGCAAGTCTACAACTCCACGCTCCAGACTTTAGCCTGGTTTGTGAATAGTGGGGCCCTGTAGCAAAAGAGAACAAACCATGAGACTTGCAATTCCAAGAGCCACTCATTGCAGCCTGATGCTGGGGCCCTACCCCACCACGTAACCTGCTGCACTGTCTTGCAACTGTTTGCGTGGGTGTTCTCCATCAGGCAATACAGTGTGGCAAGTGTGTCATCCTGTAAGGTGATTTAATGTGTGGAATCTCTGCTTTGGGGATGAGTAACTGGGGAGAGAGCTCAGCGTGAGTATCTTCCTTTGCCAAGTTGTAGCAAGGTAGACTGAGTGCCTTCAGTGTAAGAGCATAGGTTTGTGTATCTAAATAATTGTGTGATCATAATGGAGCAGAGGGTAATTAGGGGAAAATAAGAGTGGAGGGGTTTTCTACAGAAAGCCTGGGTAGGTTGTGTTTATTATATGTAAACTGAAGTTTCTGAAGTTACATGTTTCTAAAGGAAAGGGTGGGGTTCCCTATCACCTTTAGCCTCATACGAAGGCTTTGATAATCAAGAAAAGCCTAGTTTAACCGTTTGGCAAAACCAGACTGTTTCTGTTAAGTACTTTTTATTTAGTTGTCTTGTCATGACACATGGCGTCATTGTATCCTCTGCTATCCCCCTGCTATGTCCTAGCTGGTACAAACTGTAAGTTTTCATTTAGTTTACATAGCAGCTGATCCGTGATGGTAGTTTGCTATGCTGTTATAATAAATAATACTGACCTTGGCTGCTGGCTTTCCTCCGTGTATCTCTATCATGAACCAGTCATCAAAGATTGGACTCGTACTATTGACTGTAAAAATGAACATAGTTCTCTTCTAACCACAGCACTCGTGTCAGGGATAGAGACATTTGTATGTATTCACTCCTGTGAACCCATATAGACATCATAAAAGGAATTTTAATTACAAATAGCCAGAAAGAGTGAGGTGCCAAATTTATGAACTTCGATGATAGAGGAAGATTCTACAGTTCTTGTCTTAGGAAGAAGCAGGGATTAAACAGAATTATTTTACCGACAGCCATTTTATATAATTTACTTTGCATAACATTTAAGCAAGGGCAACCATGTCTTCCCACCCCCCCTCCTTACAACAGAGCTTTTACTTAATAAATAGATACAGAGTGAATAGGATTTGTTTGGTTATGGTGACTTTAATGCCTTTTTTTTTTTTTTAAACGCTGAACATCAATTAAATTTAGATTAGTGCGTTGAATGAAAAGCATGTGACCTTTTCTGCTTATGATGGGAAAGTAATGTATTACACAAACAAGTTATGTGCAAGTAGATATGATAAAAGACTTTGGCTGAGGATACGAAGGGCGTTGACTGCTAAGGAGGAAGACTACAGTAGAAAATTTGATGTAAATTGTTCTGTGAGCAGCATCAAGCAATGAAACATTTCTTTATTCTTTCTGTAGTGGCCACGTGGATTGTTCTGGGTCCCCACGTAACTGATATTTACCAGTGGCTGTTGTGATGTGTTGAGCTCCAGTCTGGGAGAACTTTCCATTCATATCCTAGTTCTGTAAATGCTGTCCTTGTGTTTGGCAAAACTTGTCCATTGAACACTCAATTGAGATCATGACATAGCCAGAATCAGTATTAGCTGATTCAGTTGTTCTGTGATAAAACACTGAACTGAAAAAAATACGATTCTGCATAGAGCCTTTTAGTTACACTGTAGCTTTTTAATACTGAGATTAAATTTCTAGGCATGGGTTGAGGGGGGAGCAGATGTTAATGATGAGCTCCACCCAGAAAAAGGAAGTGAAAGTTCAGAGATGGGAAGCTCGTGCATGTGAGTGAGGAGCTGGTAGTATAGCTTATTAGAGGTGAATGTGAAAAGAAGAATGAATGGAAGACGATAGATTGGGAGAGGGACATTGGGAAGGATTTTTAAAGTGGAGAAAGCGGCTTACTTAATGTGAAGAGGGTTACATACAGAGTAGGTACTGTAACCAAAATGTCATCCAGGAAAATGATTTTTTGCAGCAGTCATGAATGAGCAAAAGCTTGGCAAGATTGCCTCAGCTGTAGAAAGGAAGACTAGAGTAACTGGTTGGGGTGAGAGCCTAAATAAAATCTTTGTTTGATGGCGGTATACAGAAAAGCCTTCGAGGTTTAGCAAAGTGGTGACCCAGAGAGTAGCCTAGGTAATAAGAGTTCGTAGCTATTTTTGCTTGCATGACCAACAGATCAAAGAAGACTTTTGTAACCAGGTGTATTTATGTTATTACTGTTCTTGTTTTAGGTAAAGAAGATGAATTTCCAAAGAAGCCATTGGGGCAGATTCCATCAGGACCTCAGCCTGCTATGCTTAACTCTACTCCAATGCTTAATGGACAGAACAGCACTGGTACACAAACAAGGACAGAGACGAGACCATCCACAGAAGAAGAACCAGAAAGTTCGCCAAATAACCGAAAACGAATTAATTCACTGGAAAAGAAACCTTCCTTAAACCAGCAGAAGACTCGATCAATAGAGGCACAAAGTAGTATGCCTAAGAACGAGGTAGATGCCAGAAGAAAGTCTCAGCCAACAGAGGAAGACAACTCGAGACAGTATAATAATGCAGCTGCTAATCAAAATTCTAATGCTACTTCAAATACAAGAAAGGAATTTGTACCTAAGTGGAATAAACCATCTGATATCAAAATAATTGAAAAGACAATGAAACTTAGTGCAGAGGTGAAAGGAAGGCAAATAAACCATTTGGTTTCGGGCCCACCACCAAGTCCTGGAGAAACACAGCCTTTGAATGTAAAGCAAAAGATGAGGGTTTTGGATGTTGATGAAGGTAAGCGAGGGTCTAATGCATCTCAGTATGACAATGTTCCAGAAGTTGAGAATGAGAATGAGAATCTTGTTGAAGAGATGCTTGAGAGAGCTCATCCGCAGAGCCCTAGGCATGTAACGTATTCTAATAGTCCAAGAAAGCAAACGGAAAAAATACCAGCTCCATTAAAAATACCCAATAATTACACCTTCACTTCACAACCGAGATCTCCGAAATATTCAACACAATCTGGTGGACCACCTCATGGACTGAATGTAAAACAGCCACTGCCATTTTATAGTAATCCACCTATTTACCATGGAAATTCTCCAAAGCATGTTTCCAGTATAGGCAATACAAGTTCAGTACCTCTGCATTATCATGGGAATCGAACGAGCCCTTCTGGTAGGCTATATGGTTCTTTTATTTCAGTAGATTATTCTCCAGATAAACTACAGATGAATTCCTACCCTGCCAGTCGCCAAAATCCTCTTTCACCAGCCCCTGGTCAGATAGAAGTAGCCCCTGTTGATGCTTATACCAGCAACTCAAGGTCCACCGCAGGTGTCAAATTCATAATCCCTCCAGTGGATTATTTACCAGAAAACAGAAGGTGGCCAGATGCTGGATATATTTACAGACATGAACCCCACAGGCAGCCCTGGAGCCAAGATGTTAACAAAGGCCACTTGGACAATTTCCAGAAATACCAGCATTTTCAGTCAACACCTTTTCAAGACCATAGTCTTCCTGCTGTTTCTGTGGATAGTCCAATAAGATACAGGACTTCACCAACCTTTGAAGAGCATGGTTCGCCACCATACCAATACTCAAGCCCATCGGCTCAAGCCCAGCACTATCGAAACAGAAATGATGGATTGTCTATGCATGAATCCGTGCTTCTCTGAGAATCTGTCTGTGCTTAATAATAATGGCAAGAACCAAAACCAGTTAAACGTTGCTGTGTTAGCAGTAGTCCAC